TCGCCAATTCAATCAGTTATGATTGTCTTAACATGTAAACCATAAAGCTGTTGGGTATTATCGTTCAGTTTTAGTATTTGAGCGACCAAAAGAAACAAAATCATTTTTTCACAGCGTTGTGAGAATATTAAGCCGTGGGAGTAAAATTTTGCAACTTTATTAAATTTTCCTATCTAGATAGACAGGGTTTATCTTGACATGTCTGTCAAACCACTGATAATAGGAATTGTCTTCCAGAGGAGACATCGGCTTCAGTTTTACCTGAAGCAATAACTATCATTGACGGAAATAGCTTAAACTTGACATGTAATACGTCTGGCAAACCAGAAGCCAGCATTAAGTGGACCATGGTTGGCTATGCTGAAGACCTATCCACTGATTCACGACTTATTGTGAATGTAAGCAGACAGTTAGCAAAGAAAAACACGATCCAGTATCAATGTACAGCCAGTAATGGAGTGGGAACACCCGCTACAGCTACAGTCAATGTTACTGTTCACTGTGAGTAGCTATTTGTATAACGGTCTTGAAACTGCAAGAAATGTTTAACAGTTATTTTTTACATCGTTGGATATGAGAGTCCAAGCAAATGTGAATGAAATGATAGCCTAAAACTGTGAAATTCACTGAGATGCTCTGGGAAACAAGCCCTACAAATTTATAGTTTGAGAAGTTTTTGCTCTACTTGTTTGTGTCAGACGGCGTTCGTTTTATGTTGTCATTCTACAAAAACAAAACTTTCGGTAGATTATCGATGTTGAACGTAATCTGGTGTAAATAAATTTCCCATGCAATCTCCATAATACATACATCGTGGAGTGGTGTCGAAATTGGATTTTATGTCCCAACTCTAGGAAACATACGATAAAGTCACTCACCTCCCATTCAACTCACACCCGAACCGAAATCTGCTTTCTTTTCTTTGAAAACTCGATTAAACTATGGGATTGTTTTTTTTTTGTTATTTAGATCCAGCAATGTTTACTGACCCGGAAAATGTAACAGTGAACGTAAAAGTTGGGCAAGAAGTGGATCTTTTGTGTGGTGGTGAAGGTTATCCTACACCGGCGATTATTTTAACAGCGATTTATATCAATGGTAGTCACCGAAACCGTTTGTCAGGAGACAGCAATTTGACAATTGCAGCTGAGACTTCTTTCTGGTTTCAGTGTACGGTTGAAAATTACCTGGCCAAACGTATCAAGTGGTTTCACTTAGGTGGGTGAATTGTAAATAAGGCATACCTTAATCTATTTTAAATACTTTTGTTTTTTTTAAATTGTTATGTGGATAACCGTTATACTTTCGGTCCTAGACCGTTCCCGGTTCTCCGTTCGCCGTTTTAGTAGCATCCCTTGAAGGTGTACCGTATCCTTAACATCCTTTATCCATTAGAACCACTGTTAAGCAAACTTTAAAATTTGTGTAAAAACACACATCTACTGCTGGGAACCACCCAAAACACACGTCGTCACCATTGTAGGACAACCCGGCTATGCAGAATGCATTTTGCGCGAGAAATACGACAGTTCAGGGCGGTTTAAGGGAAATTTTTTGTTGTGCATTTGAATTTCATTTACGACTAAGTTTGTGAGCTGCACCTTTTAGTAGTTACTGGCTTTTAAATTTTTAATGCATGCGTAGATAAGACCATACAAGAACATAAGTTACCTTTTTTAGTATTTAAACATCGTGGTAGCCAGGTTTGAAGGTGAATGCAATCTAACTGTGATAGCAACACTTCGTCAGTCACGGTTAAGTTTACTCCATACTGTTCATGAACGTAGCGGATGGAATTTGATGAAGTAAAGAAGATATGTCAAATTCAGACGCGAATAGTCGTGTTATAGTGAGATTTTCGAGATGAATTTGTCTGGCGATGGTTTATGTTGCAAAATTCTCATCACCAATTACAGCGTGGAGTGGCAGTATACAATTTTTATGCACTCATTGTTACGACCCTATTCATATCAGGAAGATACGTATCAGAAGAAGTCGTGCACGTAAATTTTTTCACGACGTATTCCCGGTTTAAAGGAAGCTCCACTCTTTTGTTTGGGATAATGAAGTTAAGTATACCATTAGCGGTAAACGAGTTAATAGGTAGTTGTTATTTTGCTTAGCAAGGCAGAAACCAAAGTTTGAACCGATTTCTCCTTTTTCCTTTCAGTTTTAAGTGTTATGAAGATCGAAATTACGATGACCATCGTCAACAAAGCCTGCAGTGATAATCCTGAAGAAATTATCAAACAGCTGCATAAACTTGTGAGTAAAATAAAGGAATTTGTCTTTCGTTTCAGGGTTCAAAATTTAGCACACTTGCCGGCTATTTTTCACCGAAGAACTAGAATTTTATAGAAAAACTCATGCTTATTGATCTTCTAACTGAAGTAAAAGTCGCTGTCATGTTATGGTGAACATTTCACATCAAGCAATAAGGCAACCAAGAAATGTTTTAAAAGCTGTTTTAAAATGTAAACGAGTTTAAAGTTTCAAAATTTGAAGCGTGCTACAGGGAGTATTTTTGTTTACAGTATTCAGCTTTCTACGTATTTGTTCAAGAGTGAAACATGCAAGGTTGTGTACACTCCGTCACATAACCATGTTTATGTTTTTGCACGTATATACTACCTTTAATCAAGATTCATTTTCCGTCAAATCCTGTTTGATGTCGTTTGTAAAGCCTTCTCACCTGTTCAAATTAAAGTCGGTGCTTAACAGTACGGATTTCCCATGGCTGTGAATGAAGAAGCACAAACACCGAAAAAATTCAGCCGTTCACTAAGCTTTGTTAGAAAAGGAATTGCTGCACCAAAACATGTTGATCAAAATAAAGATTCTGATGCTTAAATTGATTTAGCAATTTAAAGTATACTATATGTCCACCATATACAAATAATTATTTGTTAAATAAAAAAGGTTTCTCTAGGAAAAGTTTGATTCAAGAAGATTTTGGTCATATGCTACGCAACGGGTCCCGTTTCCACAATAAACACGCAGAATTTTCATTGGCAGCCGGGAAAAAAATGGGCCTTGACCAAAGCCTACAAATTCACATTGAAAGCTGAAAAATTACTCTGAATCCTGCGTTTTGTCATGAACTAGGGACAACGATGAAATTTGAGTTTTTCTTCTGCAGTCAAACTCCAGACCTCTGGATTTCGTGTTTCCTGATGCACCACATCTGAGACCATCGAGACAGAGCACCATCGAGTTCCTTGTAATGTAGCTTCCGTTGTACAGCACGGGAATACAGAACCTCAAGGTCTCGAGTCTGATCCCTCGTGGAGAAAACCTCGCTTAAAATTTTGCAATTTTTTCATTGCCCGTCTCAGCGAGTGGAGGTTTCCATTCAGCATGCGCTTTATCCATGTAATATTGGCTAGTCAAAGTTGTTAGATGAACCTTTGCTTTACAATAGGCACATGATTTCCAGGGTCGTGAGAAGTTGACGTAAATAGGAAGTTCTGCTTTCATTCCCTCACTTGATCATTTCATCATAAAGCACACCTTCGAAGTGATGTAGAATTATTTTATAAAACCACTCCATAATCCTATAAGATTTTATTGCTCGAAAGTTTTTGTGGCCCGTTATGGCTGATGTGCACCGTATACCTCTAAGAAGAACGTATTAGTATATACACCTCATTGACTTTAGTGTCTGATATTTTCCCTTGCCAGGTGACTGACATTTTGAAGGAAAGGGATATACCTGTTGAGAAAGTTGAATCTGTGACATTTAGGTATGATATCCTCTTGCTCGTTTCCTGTATAGCACATGGGGTCTGCTCATTATGTGTCATTAAATAGATCTTATAAATCGCAAGAATAAGTTATCTCATGTATAGGACAGTAGTGGGTATATTAAACCAACAGATTTGCGGTCATTAATTCTAGATTCTTCTTTATATATTTTGGAGATGGCATGCAAAATTTTAGATTAAAATTATTTGACCTTAAATGGAACACACGACTTCCGAATAGTGGCAATTGATGCACCTATCCATAAGTTGCGGACGTCACGGAAGTGCAGCGCGAAAACAAGGCTAGTCAGTCCTCAGTGCGTGAGGTGGTATAGCTAATTTTTAGTGTTTACGTTGAAGTTTACGGCAATTCCTGCTGTGTGCCTGAATGCAATCAAAAAGGTGAAATAGGGGACAACAATGAGAAGATATCATGTTTCCATTTTTTCACCGGTAAAACGAGACGTAAGTGATGGCTGCATGCGATAAGGAGAGATGAAGGAAAGGACTTTCGCGAGACAAAGGAGGATAAGGTACGCTCTCTACACTTTAGGCCAAGTGATTTGAGAAATTCGTTCAATGGGAGAGTGTATCTAATGCGATGAAATCATGGACCAGCACCATGACATACTGCTGTTCAGATTCATTTAAAGAAAGTGAGACCCTGCAAGGAACAAATGCAAATGAACTGAAGAAGGATGCCTTGGTTTCAAATCTGAGTGAACAGGTGAAGCCTTGAAACACAACAAACCCTTATTTGAGCTCTTAAACTGGATTTCGAGTCGAGAACATCCACTTAGATATTGCATCAAGGCCACGGACCCATATTTTTACCATACATAGTTTGTCTAAAGGAGAATGGCTTTGGATGTAAGATGTTCTGTTCACGAGTGGAATGATTTCTTTTTTCTGTTCACTAATAAACCAAAATTTGAGGCAGTAAACCTAAATTTCCTTTAATTTTTCCATGCCTCTGAATCAGCTTGTGCAGCAGTTTCTTTGTTTAATTTCATTCAGTTTGTCCTCGTCAACAGTTAGATGTTCTAAAAGTGACGCTTGCACATAACGAAAAAGTGCACTTGACTGCGTCCAACCGACACACCGATCTGAATTTTCTGAAATTTTCTGAAAACGTTTTGCCTTTCTCATGCTAATTGGGACTGAGTGAGTCTACCTGTGACGATCAATTTTTTTTCCAAATCTTGATATATGTATATTCAACTCAGCTAGAGTGAACATGGGCATACGTAACAGGCTAGAAGACCAACCGTCTTCAGGATATTTAATTGGCTTTATTAATGATGCGACTCCCTGGTCTACACAACCTTTTTGCTTTTCTTTTCTTTTTGTATAAATTTTATCCTTTCTTTTTGTACAAATTTTATCCTGGGTCAATAATATTATTGTAGCGACCACTTAAAATGTATTCATCCAACTCACGGTTATGAGAGGCACAATTTCATTGTTTAAACAGTTTAGTACTTCCATAACCTCAGAGTTATCATAAAAGGTAACAAGAAGCTGCTTTCAACAACGTGGTCTACGTAAATTCCAAAGTACCTTTTCAGTTACGTATTCTGCTTTGTTTTGAGTCCTTTGCAAGAGTCGCCACGACATCGAGCCAGAATTTTGTTCTTCAATTTTCTGAGATGGCAACCTTCCTTCAAGAGAAGCACCTGGAATATCTTCCTTTGTGAGTTTCACAGCACCCCCAGATTCCCCAGATGTTGTAATAAATTTTCCTTGCGGCGAACGGATTGACTAGCCTCGTTTTCGTGCTACTCATCTGTGTCGTCCACCATTTATGAAATGGGTGTATGAAGACACGAAATTTACTACCCTAAACCCTTCATGTGCTAACTATACCGTGAAGTCGATTTAGAACTGCAACGACTAATGCTATTCCCTAATTGAAGTAACACGAGGAACCTGTCGCAAAAGTTAGTCATACCCCTCGCAAGCACAAAGCAGCGATTGGGGTTTCGGCCATGATGAGATCTTTTAATTTGCTTCTTTAGTGAGTTTTTTATAACAGCATGCAGACACAAATTGTACTTGTAAAAAAGGGTTTATTGCAACTGTGTCGGGTCTACTAGGTAATCAGGTTCTAACCGAGGCAAAAAACGACCAGCAAATATTTCGAGACTAAATCTTTATTAAAAGAATTGCAAACTTTTTGCTATGAAGCGAAAAACGAACGAATTTCTTGGGGGTATGAGACCACGTAGTATATTTAGCATGCTTAACTCGTTGTTTACTAGAATTAACGGCCAGAAAATTGCGCAGATTTCTCTTGAAAAACTTTAAAATTCTGAAATTGTACAGTTTTAATGTGAGATTCTATTGAACAATATACTTTTACGAAATATCAAAACTTTAAACTGATAGTATCAACCGTTCGGAAACGAACCGAAAACTATTCACGAGACCAATTTGGTAGATTTACCCCGATTGAATTGATTTTTACCAGAATTTACGAGCAGAAAATTCGGTACCTTTGTGTTGAAAATCCTGAAAATTCGGTACGATTTCAAATCATTGAACAACACACTTGAGACACATCAACACTTAAAAGTAATATTTACCGCTTGATGAAGATTGCCCAGCGTCGCAAAGCCTCAGTTGAAGTCAGAAAGCTCAGTTTTGTTTACAGCCATAATTCCCATCTTGTTTGGGAATGAAGTAACGTCGACTACAAAGCTAATTTCGTCGCTTGAAAGAACTACATGCTCATTGCTTTTCGAGACGAAAATTATCAAGCATATTTTATTTTCATTTTGAGATCTAAAAGGTCTATCTCAAACGGGATAGAGCGGGGGAAAAATCTTGAAAGTTTGAAACCCTGCGGCTAAACTCAACGGGGACTTTCAGCCGAAGTGAATTGCACACGTCATGTGACGGGTGCACGACCGTGTAGTACGTAAGGATTTTTAACATGGTAGCTCTTTAGGAAGTAGGTAGGCCTTACGCGCGCTGAGTTATAATATTTTGCTATTTGTTCCTGGGCCCAGTTGTTCGAAGGCCGATTAGCGCTAACCCATGGTTAAATTTTAATCTGGGTTTCTTTACTCCTTTATTCAAAAGCTTTTTTGGGTAATGTCTTGTGTTCTTTTTAGAGCATCAAAGAGTCATATCATAAACAAAAAGAATTCGACTGAATTTTCTTTTAAAGCTCTCAGTTCTGAACTCAGATTTCACACGAACCCTGGGTTATCTTAACTTAGCTTGAACAGCCCGGCCCAGGAGATTTCAGGAGCTCGAGTGGAGTTTGTTCTTTAGTCATAATGAAATGATGATATGTCGTTGGTAAGGAATCTATTTTCGCGGGAACAACTCTTTTTTCTTTAAACGTTTCAAGCAAAGGGTTTTTCTATGAATCGTTGAGGGGAATTGAACGTCTCAGTGCAGCACGGCCTTCATATATTTAACCCACCTTTCTATGTCAGGTTTTTTTGTTTTTGTTCTATTTGCTTTGTTTTGCTTTACAGGAGTGAATTTAGTGTGCGTACCTGTTTTTCGTCATTGTTATTTTTCATGTCAGGTGTGGCAGTGTAACAGGGTACTTCTCACTGACCTTTAGTCGAAATGTCGAGATCGAAAACGTTTTGATGATTTTGAAGAAGGCTGCGAAAGACAAGAGGTTCGGTGACTTAAAAGTTGATCCGAATTCCATCCAAGCAATTTCTCCTGAACGGATCCCTACTACACCCACGCCAACGCCTACTCAAGTTGACGGGGCGACGTCGGGAAATCCTGCAGGTGCGCTTAATTTTTTGTCCTCGCTTAGATTTTATACATATCACCAAGAAACAAACATTTTTTACTGATATCACTAGTATCTTAATGTACTCCCACATTCCCTTACATTTTATAATTGAATACGGGAGTTGTTCAATAGCTGCCGGTCTTACCTTTGGATTAATATATCGCGAGCCACTAAGACGAAGTTACTATAGTGGTTTTACTCAAAACCAGGGTGATCATTGATTGCTTTCCAAACTATTTTGTGTTTTCCAAAATAGCATTTTCCATGAAAAATGACCCTTTTAGGCATATTTTTCATATCGATTCCGCAAATTATCGTGCTTTTTTCCAGACACTGCGAAATGTTGGCCTCAAAGCAGCACTATTTAGGCAAAAAACACGGAAATTTCCCCTATGTAATAAAAGCAAAATGCTTCAGTTTTCACGGATTAAGAAAATGTGTTGTTTCAAAAGAGTAACATTTTGTATAATTCAACGGAAAGTTAAACGTAGGTGCATTTTACGCGTACAAATATTCAATTTTTAACTACGTTGGTCGTTAAATCTGGTCAAAGTGCACATAATGCTCTGCACGTTTAAGAATGGAACTATAGAGTCTTTGATTTTAACCCTAAATATTTTTAAGCGGGTTTTCTTTTCAATTTTATTTGACATGGTGTTACGAACTGTAATGCAGAAATTATGCAAGGTTTGACGTCCAATGCTGCAGAAATTCTGCATGGTATGGCGTCTCATGCTGCAGAAATTCTGCAGGGTTTAACGGCCCAAGCGTGCAAAAATTCTGCACGCCTTGACGTCCAATGCTACAGAAGCTCTGTACGCCTTGACGTCCAGTGCTGCTGAAATTCTACACGCCTTGACGTCTAGAGCTGCAGAAATTCTGCACGCTTTGACGTCCAACGCTGCAGAAATTCTGCTCGCCTCGACGTCCAGTGCTTAGACGACGACGAGGACACTTAAAGCCGAATTGAAAAGATTCAGCACCGATTGTTTTTGAAGAAATGGTAACTCTTGTTCCTGTTCTGTAAAGATAAGCAGCTTTTGATTGGATTATTTCAACGCACCATACTTCGAATACTTCCGTTCTCCTTATCTTTCGGAGGCATCTGGCGCACGAATATTTTAACGGATGCAAATCAGATGTGAGTTAGTTCAAAGGCTAATTTTTTTAAAAGCTGACAGACCTATGAATCACGAACTCATGTATTCTCATCATTGCCTCTCTTGTGATAAAATTTAGGGAGCAATTAAGTGCGGCGAAAAGAAAAAAGTCACAAACAACTACATTTCCGTCTGAGGTTTCACACCTTCAAATCAATTAAGAATTTGACATTTTCCGGTGAGTACTAATCTAATAAACTTAGAAACTTCCTTGATTCTTTCCCCTGCTCGTTAACTGTTCGAAATGCCTTGAAATTATGAGACCTTGTCCACACTATAACTTTTTAGTCTGAAATTTGAGTTGTTTTTGTTGTTTTTTTTTATCAACCGTACCGAGGAAACCGATATATGAATAGAATAAATCCTGCGATAATTCCGTCTCGCGTTGCTCTTCGTTAGATACTCGCCTTTTTCTTATGCCCTTTATTGTTCTCTTTCGTGTTCCTCTCGCCGTATTCTGCCTATTTTGGCGTCCTTTCTAACTTTCTTGCGCGATTTTCTGGACTCGCTTCAATCGCGCCATTACCTTCTCCCTCGCCGTTCCATTACGTAATGGCTAAGATAGTGCCCGTGGTATAGTTGGCCGCGCATGCTTAAAGTAGCAGCTTGTACGGTCGGTCGTACGGTCGTACAACCAGATTTTTCGGCTGATATTTCGTACAATTTTGGGGGAATTGGTCACAAGATATGTTAGGTTTAAAGGGTGGGAAACTGGAAAAGCAAAGACTGTTCTAGGTAGGCTAACCTAATAAATTAGTTGTGAAAATTTTGACTCAATTTTACCTGACAAACCTAAACTGAATAAATAGAAACTTGAAATTTATTTCTTCTCCTTTTGAGGTGTGCATCAAAATTTTGAAGACATGGCAGGCTTGAACTACAGGCTCATAAGAAATCTGCATGTGTGTGTGTGTTTTCAACATAGAAAACCGGTAAAAAGGTTGCTTAGCTTTTTTAATTAGTACACATTTCTTTTTCTAACAATCTTGTTTATTTGGCCTATGCCGAGTTCTAATTTTTCAAACAAATTTTACATTCTTTTGAATATTCTTAGATCTCCTAATATCAGTTAATATTCATGTAATTAAAATAATTACATCAAATCTTGCAGACGTTTGATACATTTTTCCACTGGACCTACTGACATTTCATCATGCGTAGGGATTGGTATTGGCTATAAATGTAAATATTTGTGCAGAGCCTATGCATCAAATATTTGTAATAAAATATTGTATTCTTCTTAAAACTAGTTTATCAGAATAAGAATGAGTTACCATGCACAAAGATGACTTTCAAGATGATAGTTTCCAGGTTTGAAAAAAGTCACTGCCTACTAAAATCCTCAGTTCCTATACCTGAACGGCTCAACCTCATCAAAACATTGGCAACAGGAGCGATTTGCAAATTAACAATACAGACAAGAGAGCCTATTCCCACATACACCCCCCTCAATTCTGTTCGCTTACTATGGACATGACATTTCAAACATGGTGTATGTTTCCCTGACTACTTATTTTGTAAAGGTGATCACAAATTATTGGAAAATGGTTGGGTTGAAATATAATACAACGACTTGCCGGTAGATAGTCCAATAAAAACTTTCTACATATCAATGAAATTTATTGTTGTGTTTCATGTTCAACATGTTGCAATGACTCTACCTTCCAGTAAATTCAATTATTTGCAAACGTGAGAAAATAGCATCAAAAACTTTTCAACCCATTTAAAAAAGCCAATAACATCAACTCAACTTTAAAACTAAAGAGAAAACTTGATTGATGTTTGGAATTGATTGCATTGATGTAAAAATGAAATCCAGGTATTATCTCAAGTTTTCCACAAATGTCTTCATGATCGAATGCTAAGTATCTCTTCGTCATTAAGTTTTAATCATGACATTTTAGCTCTACCTTGTCTTCTTTTAAAGCAAACTTTTGCAGCGCAAGAAACATGTTAGACAAATTTCGTAGTTCACTAGCTAGAGTTGCTAAGATCATGGGCAGCTGGCTTAAAGAAACCTACATTATAAGAAGTTACAGCAGAGGTTACCGAATCAAATAACAGAAAGAATCCCAAAAAGACGCCGTGTATTTCCAGCCAGAGGACAATCTTGAAAGAATAATTGCCAAAAGAGATGTTTTAAGAAATTACAGCTTCAAACACGAGTTGAAAATGACTTTTCTTTTTAATTTTTACGCGAAACAGAGGAGGTTGAAACGTTCGGGAAAAAATGGTGGGGCAAGCAGTCATACCTGGCGACTTCAAGAGAAGATATAAGAGAAGCCCATACAATTCTGGCGTCTTGGTTTACTAATTCACTGTTATCACGTGTACACTCTTCAATCGACTGCTGATGTCTAAACTCGAAGTAGTTTACCGTCGTTTCTTTCAATTTTGGTTCATTTTCCCAAACCAAAATTATCAGTCACGCTCAAAAGAATATAATTTCAATTGATGCTGACATCGCACACTTCCTCTGAAGAAGAAAAGATTCTCTATCTTCGAAAATTTGCTCAAAATATCAGGAACAACAACGAAGATCCTCAGCTGCTTGAAGATACTGCTGACTAGCATGCGTTTTATCGCAAGTTGTGAGAACGTCGTCACCAGGTTCCAGACCTCGCCAATTCTTCCCTTTCCTCCCCACCCCCTGGACTGGTGTCTTAATCCTCTTGTGAAACTCTTTATTACAGTTTTTATTTTAATGAGGGGCTAGAAAATAAACTAACAATAGCTCCGCTTTTAGGCTTGGCTAAATCTTTATATTACATCAACAATCAGATGACTATGACGGCTATAGTAACCTATCGTCGTGCATATTTTGATTACGATTTACGATTACGACCAGTTATAAACAGACTCTGATTTATTTAATTGTGAAAAAGTTCTACGCTTGTTACCTTATTTTGCAGAATATGAAAATATCAGAGTCGTTCTTTGTGAATAACTATAAATAAATCAGTCTATGAATTTTTATTTGACAGAGATGAACATTTGTGAATGTTCTTGTAAACACGTTTTACTTGGATCCATCATCGGAGTCCTTCTTTTATTCAATATCATTCTCGTTATCCATGTGGTTTGGATTCACAAAAAAGGTAAGTAATTCTTGGTTTTCCTTGAGGTGCCATTTAATTCTCTTATTATTCTTAATTCACTTTTTTCCCATAACTTTGCCCTCATCTTTTATCTATATTTTTCTCTGATAGAAACTGCGGCAAAGCGAAGGTGAGTCTTATTACCATGCGGATTGATTTGTTAAGAGATTCCATCCAGTAAGACGATAGATTGCTCCCTTAAAGAGCAAAGCATTTGTTATAGCTGACAGTGATAACTAAAATGCTGAAAGCAGATATTCGGAATTCATTTTAGGTTCTTGCTAATGCTTTATCACACACACAAGAGATGAAAGACACAGCAAATAAGATTCATTATCAGTATCACCAGCTGGATGGGCAATTGATAAAATTATCTCTGAGTTTTACGCATTTAATTTCTTAGTATGTAATGTTGGTAGAATCTTCAATTTGTCGTTTTAATCACGTATCTGTAGTTTTAATTAAGACTAATTTTCTTATCTTCTTAGACTTGACTTAGACACGACCACATCAACCACGCTGAAATTGTTTTCGTGCGCAAATGAATGCTTTTGATATTATTACAGTGATCATTATTCACATCACAGTTTAGTTTTAAGAAGGAAAAATTGTATCAATAGCATCTGAAGGACTGACTGCAAATTTTCATTTCTGACAACAAAGGTACAAAAAAGTTATAAAGATAAAAAATACTTAATCCTCACATTTTGTTTTATTTTAGACCATATGAAGACAGCAGAGAAGTATATGATGTAAGAAAAGTTCTGATTATGTTTTTATTTTTTCTCATTTTTATTGAATCTTATGAGAAACAAGGTGACTTAACGTTAAAACCGTTAAAAAGGTAGGAAATTTTGAAGTTTAGAAGGAAGTAGGGAATTAAAGATAAATTTTCCTATCTCTTTCTTCATCTCAGAACGAAGTGCCGATGAAAGATCAGGACCGCTCAGATGCAAGACAATTTATCCAGCCTCGCGCAGAATACATGGATCTCAAAGAAATAAGAACCGAACGCTCAACCAAAGAACAAAGGGCTCATCGAGTGGCTGATTATACGCCTCTCCATCCATCAACACGCTCTTGGGAGGTGCCAAGGGATCGCGTGTCTGTAGAAAAAATCATTGGTAAAGGAGCTTTTGGTCAGGTTGCTAAGGGAAAAGCTGAGCAACTTCATGGGAGGCTTGGGACAATTACAGTGGCTATCAAAATGCTCAAAGGTATGATCTTTCATATCGTAAAAATAGTTTATATTCAGCTGAAATTTTCATTTTTTCGTTATTGGTTCTTACTCTCCATGCTTTTAAGATGCTTCCTACTGTTTTTTTTATTTAACTGTGAGAGTGATAATACTTACAGCATCATACACGCTTGACACGCGTGCAAATCCTATGCACTGCACGTGTGCAGTCCGCTCCTCTTTAAATGGTTTCTTCTAACGCTAAATTTGAATGATCGAATTTTGAATGGAGTTTTGGAAGTCAAAAGAAAAAAATTGTGAAGCATCGTTCCTCCATTAAATGGTAACACAATCATAACTGCTTCAACGAATAAGGAAAGTTGATTTTTTCCTAGAAATTTTTGCTTAGCATGTGACAAAATTTGTCATTCAGGGGCACCATTTTACCTGTGTTCGCAAACAACAAACTTAATGATCACAAAATTTCTCCCGCAACGAAGATCGATTTCTCTATTTCCGTTCCTTTGAGCATTTCGATTTCAATGTTTGGCTCTTCTTGAAATGAGGATGAAAGTCAATTTTTAAGTTATCTAATGTGCTGCGGTAAAATTGTGTCACATGAAAGGAGCTAATTATCAACTCAAGAGTAGGATTAAATGGAAGGGGGACTGTTGAAGTGAATGATGTTTGAACGCTCAACATAGCATATTTTTGGAATACAAATCCCCACAGCTATAGTATGGACGATGATGAAATCCTTTCATATTCTGAGTTGGCTTTATCTCTAGGTAACGCTGCAGAATCTGACAAAAGAGATTTGATGGCGGAACTTGACACAATGAAGCAGCTAAAACCACACCCTCATGTCATCAAACTTTTGGGATGTGTTACGGAATCTGGTGAGCTGATTAAAGTCTCTCTCCCTCGTAACTTTTTTCCCTGACAATTTAACGTAACGTGGTTAAATGATAAGTTGTCTCACGATGTATGTCATGTTTTACAATGCAATAGCATCTCGAGAAATTTGACTGACTTGACGTGGACTCAATTGCAACATCACTTGCAGTAAACTTTATCGAAAACAGTACAGGCGGCGGCAAATAGGTTTTCTCCCCACTTAAGAGGCAGTTCTTTGTTGGGCGGTCGCGTGAACCACCAGGCTCTAATAGAATTTAGCGCTGACTATACAACGTTTCAGTCCCAGTTGCAGGCATTTTACATATACATTTTACATATGAAGCGAGATACCATGCCTTGGTTTATATATTTATATGAGAAAAACATTATACACTTCGAAAGGCACAATTATAATATACTTTGGTGGTAAACGTTAAATATATAGATAGAGTAATCATTTCGCAGGTTATGGCGATACATAACTATAGGTCCTTACCGGCCTGTTTCGTGATAACTCACTCATCAAGGGATTTTGTTGTCAAGAATATTCGTAACCATCGTTTATATGCTTTACAAATTTGCATACTAGGCGTGGCGGTAAATTTAAATGCTTTGTTCACTTGTTACGCAGTAACGCTTTGTTTCTGTGGCGGCATGAGGACACGAGTTCATAGCGTTTATTCAGGTCGGCAGATGATGACTAATTTTTCTTTGAGGCAGAGGTTGCATCTTTTGTTCGCGCTGTTGTAGGGTGATCTTGATGAAAGGATGCGCCTTGAAATAAAGTGGTCGATGTTATTTTCTTATTAGGGTCCAGATATGTTTTCTGAGTTCGGTAGAGTTTCTGTGTTTTGTGTGTCGGAATGATGCGGTGTGGTTTCTGTATCTAGTCATGGTTTGATGACACTATGGGCAGCTACGACTGTGCTGAAACATGCGAGCTAGTAGGAAGTTTACTCCTTTCCCAACTGCCAAACCTCAGCATCAACATCGGACTTAACCGAGACGAAGGACTGACCATTTCAAACGGCACACCGAGAGGTAAAGAAAACAGCGAAAAAGGTTACATGCCGCATCTTTAATCACAATGGGCTACGGATCACCATCGCATCACATCTGGACCTAAATAACATTGACAACTTTGTTTCATAGCGCATTGTCTCATCATGATCAACCCACTCTGGCACTATTCATATCGCCTCATTAGGGTATGTATTTCGTACCAATAAGATCCCGCATTAGTTTATGCACGTAGCACTGATCAGATGGCTGCAGTAGGGTATGTATCTTGCTTTAATCAGATCGATGGTTCATGTCTTTCGTGGGGGACTTCGTCGCTGTGATTTGTTGGGCTTAGAAAGGTCGTAAGGGAATCCCTCTACCATTTAGATGTGTTCTGTGTACCGCTTCTTTTCTTGCAACGCACACGCCGCTAGCAAAAGGCCTAACATTAGATTATCACGGGAGCGTTTGTTTTGTATTATCTTATTTTGGTGACTGGTGAAAACTACATAAAGCCTTTGCATAAAAAAAATTGGTGCTGCAATCTTGTTTATGCCTTGTTGCTGTTCTTTTAGCGAAGCTTGAAAAGATCACGCTTTGTTTTATTTTTTTCCCTTTTTCTTGAGTCCCATTAATTTCAAACGGTAATTTCCCGATACAGTTACGTGTTTACTTTTAACTATGAAACAGTTCTAATCCAATGAAATGTCATATTCCAGCAAACATTCTCAATTTAGCGACATAATCCTACCAAAAATTCACATGTAGCTTAGGATGTTACTGTTAGACGATTTCTAAGCAATTCTCCCGTGCTTCTACGTTTTGTGCCAATCAAATTCGCTTTTAGCTACCTTGGACCTCACCCCATCACGTGTCAATTCCTTGTAAAGAACCTGCATTTTATCATTTATTCCGCACGCACGCGGCAAAGTCTAGATAGACAACAGCAAAACAAAGGAGTCCACATTGTTAAGACCAATAGAAAGCCTTTAAAATATAATACTTTATTCTTTGTTCAAATATTATCACTTGTTCAAAGAACAAAGACGGCAAAAATGTTTGGTTAGAAGTTATTGGAGATAAAATAGAGTTTCTTTGGTCGGTTTGCTTTCCACAGCAAAATAACGTGGAATAATATTTTTGAGGCAGCTAGCTGTAACTGAATAATTTCGATCTTGTCTCTGAAGAAGAAAGTGAAGAAATGGCAGTAACCACGGCAGGCCGTTATCATTAGTGCCAAAGGACGCGAGTTTCCCTGCCCGCGGAAATTTTTGAAACAATTCAGCGCTAATTATCAGTGTTAGACAGTTGTCTCGCCACTTCCAAGTCGCCACCATATGATACAAATTCAAAGCATTAGGTGACTCTTCAGTTTGATCTTGAGTCTCCTGGGCATCGCCGTAAGAATGTTACGGGCAATACCGCAGAGCCGTGCTAAAGGCTCAACAGTTTTTCGAAGATGGCGGAAGGTGAGTCAAATGCGTGTAACGATCGGAAAGGCACCAATTTGATATGATCAAAGATGACAACAAGATATTAAACGAACTATCAGACGATGAAGTCTAGCCTATAAATATTTGGAATGTACATCAAAGGAAAAGTGATATTAAATTTTCAATCGAATGTGAACGAAGAGCAAGATCGAGAAGACATGTCGATCGCATGTATTTTTTGTCGACAAAATGAGTGTTTTGAGGTTTGTAAGTTCACAAGGCAATACTTGTAATACTTGGAATACTTTTTACCCTTAAAAACAACGAGCAACAAGTTAGAGCTTCAGCAAACGTATGTTTATTTAATCAAACATTTAATAGCTTTACTTAAAACAATTACAGCAATGGCTAGCCCTGGTGGCGTGATCGATTACACTTTGGTGGGGGCTTGATGGTGGCGAGGAGACTGGGTATCTTGCAGATCTCTCTCGGGCTCGTGTGACTCAAGGCCTCATACTTTTCCGTGAGTGAGGAAACTCACGTGCCAAAATGCTAATAATGAGGGCCTGCTCACAGACTAGCGTTATCTCCTTCGCAGTCGATGTTTGGTCTCGTCACGCTACAGGGGGAGAGAATGCGTTGCGTGACGAGATCAAACAATTAAAAACCACGATTGCGAAAAAAAAAATAAAGTCTTTAGACAGGCCCAAATGGCCCATGGCTTAACTCCGGTTTCCTTAGCATGAAGCGGCTAGGAGGATTACTATTCCCCCTTGGATGGGATACTAATCCATCGCAGGGTTACCCCCAGCATATTTGCTGGTACCCATTTGTACAACTAGGCGAAGAGAAGCACTGTGAGAATAAAGTGTCTAACCTAAGAACACAACACAAGGACCCTGGCCAGCGCTCGAGCCCGGACCACTCGATCCGGAGTCGAGCGCACTAACCATGAGGCCACCGTTGTGAAGGAGAGTACAATTTTTGCCTACAATCATTTAAGTAACAGTGACAATAGACAACGAAATACCTGTTTCTAACTTGATTTCAGATTAGTCTGAGGTTCTTTTCCCTCTCCATCGAAGATATTTTTGTTGAAATCTTTTGAAAATGAAACTATTTTTTAGAAAAAATTGCAAACATCAGTTACTTAGTGACCCATTCCAACCCACTCATCCCAAAAGATAACTCTTGCGTGCGTAGCATGCCTAATAAAATGTCTCTTTATCACATTAACATAGTTACCAAGCTGGTTAGACTGACTTAGCATAGTGTAACCGGGGACAAGTTAGGTACCATAGTTTTACTATGTAACGAAACTCCTTAACGTAAAAAAAATTCCTTCATCATTTCTTACCTATTTTCTTAGAGCCGCTGCTGGTGTTGATAGAATATGTTCCTTTTGGAGACCTGCTGGGCTACCTGAGAAAGAGCCGTGGACTTAATGACACTTATTATAAAGACCCGGATATCAAACCACAAACAAACTTGAGATCACAGCAGCTGATGAAGTTCGCATGGCAAATCGCTGATGGCATGAGCTACTTGTCGTCGAAATCTGTAAGTTTAAGGAGTTTGGAACTATTTGGCACATTAAATCAGATAGAAATGGTTCTAAATGTTTATCTTTTTTAGAAATAATTCTGCTACCTCATAACACGTAATTGAGGAATTTCGTAACTGTCGAGTATTCGAGTGTCAAATAGTAGAAAGATGCCTCTACATCTTCTTACCATTGGACGGGACACTTGTCTGAAGGGCACACAGATTTGAATAGTGATAATGATCACAATTTTTACCATGACAATGATAATAGTAATGATGACAATGACAATAATAATGATATTTACAATAATGATAAATATCATTATCCTTTTGAGCTGGGGCAAATAATCAGAAAAAGTGTTTTTGTTTGCTTGTTACTGAAGGAATTTCGGGTTTCCTCGATTTCATTGTGGTTACCGCCTCGAATTGGAGGTGAAGCCACATGTCGTCGGAATTAGTGAGTTAGTGATGGTAAGTAACAATAGAATACCGAATTTCACCCGATTTCGACCCGATGTTTCCCGGTGTTACTTATTTTTTGAGTAGTTTGATATTCGCACTGACTTCACAGTTGAGTTATTTACTTTTGGGATTCCTAGCCTATTGCCTCTAAGGCATTATGTTATCGTCCTTGTAAGTCCGTAAGTAAATAAGAAATTGCGAGACTTTTCGGAAGCTGTTTAAGAAATCTCACGCAACCACTTTAGAATTTACCTGAATTAATTGAATCAATTTTCACCCTTTAACACCTGCTTTTTACAATTAATACCTAGTAACGTTGCATCAAATGTCACCTTATGAGTCAACAGATATGAAACACGAGCCATAGGAACAGTCAAAGTTCACTGCTGACTGACTCAATTCAATCATCTTATGTAAACGTTGGCGGCTGCCGCATGTGAAAGAATGTTCTCAATAATAAGAATACCGAACTTCACTTTATAATTTGCCTCTGTCTATCTTCGTTGTTTCACATTCTCTCTCCATATCATCTACCACAACCGCGTTTTAATCAGCGAATTATGCCTACTAGATTCGAAAATTAAAATTTGTCAGGATTTGCCTTGACACTACGAAAGACTTCAAATAAATTCACAACCTCTCCGACGCGTAATTTTAATCACGAACAAGGTAGAACTTGTCCTAGCAAAAAAATGGGGAAAAAGGTGTGATCTACCCGTCATGGAAACTTTGAGGGAAAATGTTCCTCTTTGTAGAAAGAACATTATATTGTCTGAAACAGCCACATATGCCCGAGAGTCGCTAAATTTGGGAAGCGAGCAATGAGCGAAGTTTAACAGGCTGATCCTATTCAGCGGAACAATGGAACGGTAGATTGTTGCAACGGTGGTATGACGTAATATTCTTAAACACGAAATGAAGGAATGCCTTGTTGTATGAAACAAAAGTCTCACAAAAATAGAACTGGGATGTAATAAGAAAACTATTTTTAAAGAACAGGCAAAATCAAAGAAGCATTGTCTGATGATTATTGGAGCTCAGAGGATGGAGGAATCGTGAGGCTTTTGAGCTAGTTGCTCTTAATTGTCATTACCATTGTTATCATTATTATTATTACAGTAATGGTTGGAACCCGAGGGTAACATGTAATAGTGTAGTTTGATCGTCCGGGTGAGTGTAGTCCTGAGAAGGACTGTTGTCGGTAGTGGTGACTAGTCGACACCAGTCACCACTACCGACATTATTATTGTCAATAGGACTATTTGTTACCGTTTAATTACATGTCTATTAGTCACTATATCCTTGAATCATCTTTAATTTCTCATGTGAACAGGGTAGTCATATTATATATATATGTACATCATATTATACAAACTCTGTTAGTGTTCAATGCCCTAAAAATTGTGCTATAGTGGTTACGTGTAATCTCAGACCAGCGGCCTATTTTTTTCTCCTTCCTGTTAGATCATCCACCGAGACCTCGCAGCTCGTAACGTGCTGGTCGGAGAAAATGAAACATGTAAAGTAACAGATTTCGGAATGGCTAGAAATGTGCAAGAGGAAAATATCTATGAGAGAAAGACAAAGGTAATTAGAAAGAAATAGGCTTTGCTTCAGTCCATGACATGTATTTGTCATGAGTGTGCTCTGTTCTGTTGTAAACCACGTAGGAGGCGGCTAGATCACGAAAGAAGCCAAGTGTAGGGAGAAACATAAGACGTAGTCGAGTGTTTCTCTCCACTTCTTGAGTGCTCCACCTGCTCTCTAAGTGCTTTACAACAGAACAGAGCACAGTGAAGGCTTCTCTATTTGTTTCATAATAAATAATCCTTTAAATTCCCTACGCGTTACTTTTAGTTTTCAAAACAAGCTTTATTTCCAATGCGAGCAACAGTGTCGTCAGCATACTCTATACCCTCATAAGGCACGCTACAATAAGCTTATCAGAATCTTTGTTGGAATGGTTCAAATAGTCTGATTGGTTGAACAAGACTAAAGCTGTCAAAAATGACAAACCATCAAAGTTCACAATCTGCAATAGTTTACAAAGTAAAAAGTGAAATATTCAGTGAAATCCGACCGAATTGTGGCTCATAAAAGGACGTAAGTTTTTACTTGGACAATTAGAGAACAAACTGCGCGAGGCGTGTGTTTTATGAATGAACGACAGCCTAATTCACTGGAACATGAAGATTGCTCGGCTCGGCTGCTGTGACCGACGTGGCCTTCCTTCAATGCATCGGAAAGAGTATTATAGCAAGCCCTTAGTTGTTCACTCGAAGGGCGGCCGATGTAATATCTGAGGCTTGCTTCACTGCGATGAGCGATGACCGGGAATCGCCATGATAATCTAGCCGCGATGAACCTCCGCAGGATCGCAGTCGCTCTGACGCTGTCATTATTGGTATGAATTTTAATAGTTATGCCAGTCTTCCTATATTTTTCATCATTCCTGTTTTGTTCTATTTTGTTTTTGACTCGAAACTATATATACTGTAGGAGTATCCGTTAGCTGTGTTTGATTTTTATTACCATACGTAAGTTCGCAAATCTAACTGAGCGTTACAAGGTTCAAAACTCAGACTGTCCATTTCGTTTTCTCTATGAGGACTTTCGTTTCTGCTCACGTTGTGATAACGTAAATTACGTCACTAGGCATGTTTAAAAACCTTCGTTCGGCTCTTCTGTTGCCACTTGCCGGCTCGCTTGTTCCGAAAATTCACTTTAAATTAACAAAAAAAAAAAGCTAAGAAGAAGTCCCAGAAAAGTTCGGACATAGTACAATCTGGCAGATGGCGTGACAGCTTTAGTTCAGCTTTATACACTGTACTCTGATAGAGAACGCTCTTTCGATCAATGACTACGCGCGTCATATCTGGACTTTATAAAAATATAAACGTCTTGAGATTGTGTATACACTTACCCAAAAGTTCGTTTACTAAGTAATGATACGTTTGATAAGGGAGTGCATCGCGCGTTATCGGGATCAAAGTTACCTCGCAAACTTTATTTCAGTTTTAATTTCGAAACCTATCATTTAATTTACAACCATTTTCAAAAAACAGTCTTTCTCTATGCAGTTAAGCCAAAATTGGCTTAAGTAAGTACGGCTGTGTATGCATAACATGACATGTGCAGTTTCACCTCTACAGCGAGTTCCCGTCAAGTTTAGCGGCGACGTTTCATACCTTTCGAGAATGTTACTCCTTTCTATTCCGATTAAGATAGATCTCTTGGCGCTCAAAATTAATGGCAGTTATGCTAAGCAATACCCGTTTTGGAAAACTATGACCATGTAGCTCTCTCAAGCGACAAAATTAGCTTTGGAGTTAACGATACTTTTTTTCCCAAACGCGTTGCTTCACTGAGTTATCATGGCTGAAAACAAAACCGAGTTTTCCGACTTCAACTGAGGCCTTCCGACGTTGGGGACTTTTCTTTCGAACAGTAAATATTACTTTTGAAATGTCCCAAAAGTGTTGTTCAAAAGAAGGTTTTGTCGCGGTTTCGAAATTATACAACTTTCATAAGAAAAAACTGCGCAATCTTTTGGTCGTAAATTTTAGTGAACAACAATTTAAGCATGCTGAATCGACAACGCGTTCTCGCGTAGGCAAGAAATTCGTTTGTCAGTTTTTCCCTTCTGAGCAAAAAATTATACAATGATTTGAATAAAGATTTTATCTCGAAATATTTCTTGATCGTTTTTCCTTTGTCCTTTATCCACAGTTGTTGGTTAGAACATGATTACCTGGTCAACCCGAAACAGTTGTGATAAGCTCTTTTCTTCGTGCACAATGTGTGCCTTTATGTCAGAGTTACTCTCGGTTGCGCCTGGAGCAACTCTTACACTTCTCTCGTGGTTTCCAAACTTCGCACGCTAAGCATGAACTAATTATTTATTTGTCCGATCGCCTTAGCTCTTGCTTTGCTCGCTATTAAAATTATCTGCCAATCTGTTGACCGATCACATTTCCTGTAAACATAAACGCGTCAATTTTCTGTGAATTCTTCACCGATCACATTTTCGACACAAAATTCAACCAGGCGTAAGGGCCACTGCATCCACTTATGTTACACTTTTAGCGTATTGTCCGCTGGCCAGATAACAAATGAAGTGAAAGATGAGTTGCATTACTACAGTACAGGCTTATTTCTTGGAGAATGTTACTCCTCACCTTATCAACCTTTTATAGAAAATTAAGGTTATATTTAAGTGATGATGTAGTTGATAATGTGTTGCAAAGACTGCGAAAAGTGCCTGTAATTTGTTAAGGACAGCAGCCAGTGTGCTGAGACATATAATCGATGAACTCACTTTGGTGAAATGATGTCAATTCTGGCAAACGCGGATCAAAATTAGCAGACAGTATCGTTTGCTGTTAGTTCAACAGTTGGGTATATAACGGTGCTTTCCCAGCTTAATTCGAGGTAGAAGTTTTGGATGGGATGAATTTTGGTCAATGTTGAGCGTTTGTGAATTTTGAAGTTACCTAGGGGACAGGGTAGGAAACTGTAGTTTCTTTGAAAGAAATTCCTCGTAGAGTGAATGTTTTCTTCATTGGGAAAGGAGGCATGGTTATTGCACTGGCGATCCTGAATATCTTAAAAGTGCGTCTCCGAGTCACATAGTCGTTCATTATCCTCAGCCTCAATATTCTTAACCGAAATTTTTTTCCAATCAAAATTTTTAGGGTCGCCTTCCAGTAAAGTGGACAGCTTATGAAGCACTGTTATATGGAAAATATACCACCAAAAGTGATGTGTAAGTTCTGTGCAATGAAGTTTCACTCCATTTTCTGTATTCTTAACTATAAAGATGTACTTGTGGCAGTGGTTTTAAAGGATTTATTGGTGGTGTTCCACAAGTCTTTAGTATAATCAGGTTATGTATGTTGCTATAAGTTGTAATACTTTCAAGGGACAGGAAAGCCGAATGTTTTAAAATGTCTGATAGTTATTGAGTTTTCCGCATTGTTTTATTGCCTCATAGATGGAGCTACGGAGTTGTCCTTTATGAGATTTTTACAATAGGTAATACTTATCTTTTAGTTTTTAACGATTTACATCAGGCCAGCAACAAAGAGAGTCTCATGCCCACAACATGTTTTAACTGGGTTGATGTTTTATAATATTAAAGGGTGGCTGGGGTTAGTCTTTGAGGGGGATCTTCCATTCCACTTACTAGGTAAGGGTTAAACTTGAGAACAGAGATTTTCTTTGTGGGTTTACTCACAAGAAAAGCGCTCGACAGCGTAATTTTTCCGACCATTAAAAGTTTTGTATTTCATCTTTTAGTGGATCATTGCATCTCTACATTTGTCTTTTTGGCATTCAATGCCATGGAAAAGGAAATTCAAATAATGCACACATTTTTAAATTATACGACTCATTGCTGGTGTGCATTGGTCTTCCCGAAAGAAATACCCGAAAAGAATTTATGTTAAAAGGTAACCAGTCGTTTCGTACCCACGGTCGTTTCGTGCCCAGCTGGTTAGTCTTGTACCCAGTCGTTTGAGTCGTTTCGTACCCAGCTCGGTTGTCTCTCAGCTAGACTTATAAAGAATGTTTTCCGCGTTCAGATTGTTCAAAGTATGGTTGGTCTTTTATTGTGAATAGCGATAATACCTGCGTTAAATAAGTTTTGTTAACATGGTGTCCATTTCTGAAGCGTGTCCACCGAGTGTGTCCAAATTACATTATTAATTTAGTCGATAAACTAAACCACCTAATATAAGGCCTGGAACCGAAAAAGGGGGGTCTGAGAGTCATAAGACGGACGAGAAGAATATTTCTACCAGAAACATTTACACTTTTCTCCCATCCCCAATTAACATACATTACAACATAATGCTTACATTTATTTTATTTTATAATGGCGATAACAATGGTAGAAATAATATCTCACTTACACTTGTTAGACGAGCTCACAAGTATAAACAATAGACTTTTCCAATAAGAATGTAACACTTACCTTGTGCTAAGCAATAATGTTTCAAAGATATACAACATAATTTTCTCTGTACCTCTAATACTCGCTCGACTCTACTACCTTGTTTTATGCAACAATTAACATCTGTTCATGCGCTCGCGCAGGAGGTGTTTCGAATAAATAGGGAGAGTAAAAATCAGGTGAGAATCGATCCGTGGCTTGGGTGCGACCTGACTCAAACTTTGGTACAAGCCGACTCAAACTTGGGTGCGAACTGACTCAAACTTGGGTACGAAACGACCGGGTTCGGGACGACCGGACGCCCTTTAAAAGGCGTTCCCTCTAAGAGGACCCGTTCCGTGTCATTAATTAATTTTGATCATTTCTTCATTATGCCGCATAAAAATTCAAGCATAGCTATAGAATTCTGCTTGTGATGCAATAGACTACAAAGTTTCTTTAAATCAGGTGGTTCACCGTATCCGCGGATGGATGGCAGGAAAATTGCCAGCTTACTTCAGCAGGGATACAGAATGCCTAAACCACAACATGTGGATGATAAATTGTAAGTGGAAAAGTTTCTTTGAGGCTAACGCTCTAAAGAGACCTGAAAATTTTATTGTGCCTTTGATTCTACGACTTTTAAGTTATATTTAATAAGAGATTAAAAAGCTTCAAACTATTGCATCTTTTTCTCCATCAGTAATTGAATTTATTCCTTTCTTTACGGAGATTTTCATTGTTTAAAATTTGAAATATATTAGCATATCGATTAGCATATCCACATTCGAGAAAATAACAAGTTAAACAATTTTGTGTGATAGCGATGAGTTCATCGTGAAAACAACTCATGTGTTTCGTTTCAATTTGATTTAATATACCATACGTATATCAAGTACCAACCTGTTTTAAATGAAACGTAGGTACGACATGATGTTGAGATGCTGGCAAGATGACCCGGGTACAAGACCAACCTTCTTTGATCTAAGAAACCAGCTCAAAACAATGGAAACATTGCACAAGGTAAACTTTTTGCATTCAGTTATCTTACAAGGGGTCATTATAGAATACGTCGAGTTGTTTATAAAATTTTTAATAACATCAAAGTGATCATGATAAACTCGTCAACTATGTTCCTTCACTCTCCATCAAGTTGCTTAACTAAGAACAACTGAAGACTTCGTTCATAGTTGCCAAGCGTTTGAGCATTTAATTAGATAAAGTCATGCAGAAATAAAGAATTCTTGATGGACATTGGGGAAATTATGTTATACTTTTCTTTCGTCCACAGAGGCTGATCAACATGAAAATCTACGACAAGCAGTTGTACGCAAACGTTGAGGATTTGGTGGAATAGGTGATGACAAGCTGTCAGGGTTTGAGGAAGGAAATTATTCTCCCCTCTTCAATTGACGTTCTAAAAAATTATAAGATCACAAGGCGACGAATTTCAAGGCTAATGTTAGTGAAGTACCCACACTTTAATTGTAGTTAGTTTATTTTTTTTCATTCAATTTAGATTTAGTATAAAGCAGACGTTTGCATAACCAAAACAAAGTATCTTCAATAAACAAAAATAAAATATGAGACAAATTTGTCAAAACTTTGAAACCGTTGACTGGGTATGTAGATTTATATTGCATGCTTAAGTATGTATTACAATTCGTTAACTATATCAGAAATGTGCGTTTGAGTGACCAAGTTTTTAGAATTGGTTCAAAAAAGACAGTAAGGCATGTAGAGGCTATTATGGAGAGAAATCCTCCCTTTGGAGGTGGCTATCTTCATTATCATAATCATCATTATCATTATGACTAGTATTATTATCATTATTATTATCGTTATTAACATTAGTATTTTTATCATTGTTATAATCATGATCCTAGAAATTACAATTTCCTCCATTGTGATTGGGTTTAGAAACTCAGAAAACAGTTTGTTATCGGGCAGTTCAATAAGCCAATCACATTTAAAGGTATAGTGTAAATCCGCCAAATACATTCAAAGTTGCAATTTGAATCGACCAATCACAACCATTCTACAGTTTACGCCGCCTTTGTCAGTGTCTTAATGTAAATTTTCCCTTTCTTTCATAACTTGACTATTCTTCTCTTCCCGGAATTTGAAATTTTTATGCTTAAATGCTTAATTGGTATTAAGACTTTGTGTCGTCCAATTTGGTCTGTAATCATACTCATGATAAACAAATCAGACTCACGCTGCGCCTCACACTTTCCTCTTACCATGCAGCTAGTTTTAATATTTCTTGGTTCCTTTCAGAACCTCACTGTTGATCGACACTATATATACGTATTAGTATGCTCAATTCCAACTATGTATTTGAAATGCTTTGAGGTAATTTCGCTCACATGATCACGCAAAGTAAATAACCTTAGGGTTGATTTCAAATGCAAAATATGTCAAGTGAGTTTTAAATAAGGGTCATGGCGAAATTTTAAGGCTTTGTATAGGATTATTTACGACCTCCATCAGGAATAAAAATATAAGTCAAATTGTCAATAAAAATACCTCACCTTACTTCTACAGTGTGTTCCTTGTTGTCTGACCGCTTACTGTGTTGAAAGGAACCCATTTTACTGAGTTATCCATTACCCAAGGGTGCACACTCCATTTCCGGACACCCGATCCGAGAAGCGAAAAATCCTGGCTCAAAATTACTGGGCTGCCATAAATTCAACGAAGAATCCGAGCATATATACTGCAGTCTCATTTCAATTCACTACCAACTCAATCCTCCCCGTGAAACCAACGCCGAGCCGATGTTTGCTTCTAAAAGTTTCAGTTTAGACGTCCCTAACGACACCCCGTATACATTCACGACTCACGACCGTTGAAAACCAGTTCGACAACCCTGCCTCCTTTGCAAGCCTCGCCTCGCCAGGGACCACACCGTCACTTGGCACCGTGGTTCTAGAACAAGTCGTTCATGTAATTATTGTTGCAGTCCAAACCCCAGAGGATAGGGGAACCATGATCTAGCTCCTTTGAATTAGTGGTGTATAACGATTGTTATCGTCACCGTAATTATAAATGTGATGTTTTTGTTGCTACTATTTAAATATCGTTGGATTATCAGTTAGTCAAAAGATTATTTAGTCGTCTTTCTTTTGAGGAACAGGATACTCATATTAATGTGGTATGCGGTAGATGAGAATTCAAATCTTCTGCAACTCTACATTTTACTGTGATTACACAACCTGTATTTTTGCTCAGTGCATAAAAATTGTACGCTGGTGCACCCTATTTACCCTCGAGACCTCACTATTTATAAGCTCAAGCCAGATAACCACATGCAGTCACTTTCACGGCTGTGTCAAGGAATGCGCCATGGACGAAGGTGGGCGAGAGGTACGTATCATTTCATCGGTCGTTTGTTATTTCTTTTTTTTTTAATATCATGTGCTATCGTGCTACTGTCCAGGCCGGACATATAAAGCAATCCAGGGAGTGGCTTTATCACAAGAACAGCCCTTCAAACACAACTTCTTTACAAACGTAACAAATCGCCAGCACAACAACCTTTCATTTTGGATTACGAACTCGTAGAGCCGTACTAACCTGACAAACACAACGAAGATTACCTAGCGAAGCGAAATTCGAAACAGAAACTATCTAAACTTATCATATGATGAGAGGAGGTAAACAAGAGAGATAAATCACAATTTCAAAGGAAACTAGCTTCATCACATGCGATTGAAAAAAATTAAAATGAAAAGAACAAGCTACTGAGGCATCATGGTCTTACGTATCTTTAGCAAAATATAGAGTTGCGGAATAGACTTAACGACTTGTTGAGGAATATCCTCAACATGCTACTTTTCCTTTATTCGACATCATTTAAGGTGAGGAGTAAGGAGTAAGATTGTTTTAGATATGATTACTGAAGTGCACGTAAGCGATTTATGGAGCCCATGTCGCACACGTTTTTTGAAACAATTTTTTAATTTGTTAAATCTAAATTATTGAGCAGCACTCTGCGAACAGTAGTTAAAAAATGTGAAAATTTTTGAAAATGTGGCGTTTAGTGAGAACTAATAAAACTCCCTGAAGAAGTCTACAACAGTCTACAACAACTACTATTCGTAGAGTGGTGCTAACTAATTTAGTTGTCAAAAACTATTCGACTCAACTCGTTAGACTAAAACGTTTTCTTTTCCGGTTGCAGTTTTGAATTTCTATGGTCTTTTTTCTCAGGAAAGTTGGAAACTTTTCCCGAGTGCGGGCGGATATATGATGATTTCAGAACTGCACTAATCGACAAAAATCTTTTGTTATCTCTTTGGTCATTAGTTCAATATGCTCATGGTTTTTAAAGTCGCTTAGCGTGTAAAAAATGCAATTCAGGTGAAGAGGGAATTAACAAGTTCATGAAAGATATAATAACTGACTGATTTTTTTTCCTTTTTTAATTTAATAAACATTTATTGAAGAAACATTTGCACAGAACTAAACTTACATTACTCTACTTACATCACTCGACATCACTCTAGTTATTACATTACTGTACCTATTGGATTAGACACTAATACTTATTTCTTACTTATACTAACAGTCACTTATAATTACTAACAGTCACATATTACAGCGTAATGTTATTTACATCACACTACTAAAGAGAACATGACTTACATACATTACAATACAAAACTCGCAATTCGTTAATTAAGCTCACTTGCCTACTTATAATTACTTGAGTACTTTACAAAACGGCAGCTTAATTACTTTCTACGAACACTACAAAATAAATTTAGAGAGAGAGCCAGTAGAAAAAAAAAAGGTTAAGAGTTTGGGCTTTGATTTAGTTTGTCTGTTTCAATTGGCTGTTAAATCAGAAAAAAAAAGGCTTCGCGGGAAAATCTGTGACTTAGGGAAGAGCGCATTTCTCTATTTGCCATTGTGGTATAGCTTTTCTTTTAAATTCCTGCATGTTTGGTTTTTTGTCTAAAAATTTACAAGCGTAAATGTATTCTTTTATAATAATGACGAAAAGATGTAGTCTGCACTGTAGTCTTGGGTAATCGCTTAGGTGGGTTAAACGGGGGATGTGTCATTTTCCACTTGTGTCCACCTAGCCCTTCCCTCTTTATCTTCACTGTGGAATTGCTAACATTGAAGATCCGCCAGAGCCCGAACTGCAGAGGTATACGTTATCAAACAACAAAGAAGCGAGAATTTTGCAATTTGCTGACGATACAACCATCATAACAAATAGTACAGATTCTCTCAAATCACACCTCCAAACAATAAAAGTATTTAGGGCCATCTCAGGGTTAAAACTAAATAGGAAGAAGACCAAAGAAATGTGGTTAGGTTCCATGAAATGTAATATTTGTAAGATACTGGAATTTAAAAGTACGAGAGAGCCAATTAAAGTTTTGGGGATCTGTTTATCATATAATCAAGATAAGAACATTGAAGAGAATTTCCTCAGCAGAATTAGGAAAATGAAAACCAAATTAAAGTTATGGCTTTCGAGGGATCTCACACTCTATGGTAAATCCTTATTAGCTATAACGTTAGGTGAGCCCCAATTAGTCTACGCAACATATTTGCTCTCTGTTCCAGATGCAGTTATCAAAATTGTCCAGACACAACTCTTCTCTTTCCTATGGAAAAACAAAAAAGATAAAATAAAGAGAGCAGTTATACATCAGCCCCTGGCGGAAGGTGGACTAAATTTTATTAATTTTGCCACAATGGTGAAATCGTTACGCTTAGCATGGATAAGTAGGTTACTAGGTGATACCGACGACTCACGGAAAGTAATCCCGAATTCCTATCTTTCAGAGTACGGCGGCCTTCAGTTTCTTCTTAAATACATCTATAATGCTGAATCCATAAACATAGGTTTACCTAATTTCTGTCGAGAACTGCTACAATATTTCCAAGAACTTAAAAACACTACTGTGGAACAACAAGGCCATAACCATTGGAAATTATCCCGGTTTTTAGAGATCCTGGTTCAAACAGAAAATTCTTTATGTACAAGATGTCCCAAATGCGAATGGAAATTTTTAACAATTGAAGAATTCCAATAACTTACTGAGGAAATGATACGTACCTCTCGCTTGCCTTCGTCCATGGCGGAACTACACAACATCAGTCGTGTTTGCCTAATGTTTACTACGGTTTGCTTCACATTTACTTTTCTGGACTCTAAATTAGTCTTGCGCTCCTTTGAATCACTTTTTTCAAGAATAAGTCTACATTTATTATTTTTATTGTTTATCTTGTACCTCTAACTAGTAGGAATTTTCAAATCAGTTAAAGAAAGCAATTCTGTCATGGAATCATCATTTATGAAACAGTAGTAGAAAACATGGTGGTTATTACTCCTGGAAAGCAGAAATGCCAATCTTTTGTGCGCTCCATTTCATTCTATTTGTATATACAAACGCACTCTGTATAACTATTTTCCCAGCTGTGATCCTATTTTTTTTTTATTTCTCAATTATATACTTTTTCGCTTCAAGGCAGGCAAAGGACACAGAAAACTGGCATCTGTAGGCTCATGGATTAACATATCTTTCAACATTACAATCATATGTTTGTCACCTTAGCATTTTTTCGTTCTTTGCTAATCAGCTGCATGCCTGTCAGTGCCGTCATGGCAATCATGTAAATGCTTTTCAGTTATAATAAAAGGATCTCCATCATATGTGATCCTTGGTTGGGACATTGCATTCTGGGAATCTTAAAAAGATACCTTATTTCCTTTTATTTCTACATTCTCTGTAAGTCTGTACGGGAGGCAGGTGCTGGAATTATTGACTTCTGGATCAGATTAAAATAGGGTATTAAAAACCACATATGAATCCCCTTTTTCAGGCTAGTCATCACATTTTAGCTACTGAAGTTCTGTAGTTCTTTTATTTTTTTAATCCTATTCCATTTTTTCCAATTTTTGCAAAAAGCAAAAAAAAAAAAAAAACCACATAGTAAGTGAATTACGCACCTGTCTTAAAGAGCACAATTTATTTTAAATTTTTATGTAATGCTTTGATGGGAAGGTTTTTGGATCCCCTCTTTCCCCCCCTCTTGATCTCCCCATAACCTCTAAACCTCTGCATCCCTCCACTTAACATTCCCTCTCGTAAGCAGAGTTCATCTGAGGCGCCCCTCTGACTTTAGACTTACCTTTGCCAACACCGTAGCTGTAGTATATAACAAAACTAGTTGTTGTTTCCACTTCGTGTTCGTACAGTAGCTCCTCAGCTGATCTTACATCAGGCAAAAAATTAAGAGAGATGTTTTTAGATGACTTGGTTCGAAGATACACACACGGAGAAGCTGACATCAAGATAGAGGGGATTTTAGGAAAATTGTTCTCTAAAAATTGTATTCAATTTGATTTTCCTACTCCTCTTCCTACTTACTGACTAAGTTACGCGTCTGGCTTGCGTTTTTGTTTCGCTTGTGATCCCCTTGACTTCCGTTTCCGGCCCCAGGAAAATGGTGCGCTAGTGCATCCCTACAGGGATAGATCAGCGGAACCCTACCTTGATTATATTTAATAGCCCTTGAGAAAGAATCCACCTTTGATAAACAAGAAAGAGGAGTTGAAAACTGTCTGTTACAAGTTATTTATTTGCGTGACTTTCATTTAGCTTCATACGCGCGCATGATAAATATCGGCGCCATGATATCGTTCTCATTCGACACATTACAAATTTCACGCATAGTTTACTCTGAATGGATCAATTCTACGCGAGGAAATTTTTTACAAGTCACGCAGATATCTCAAGTGTTAAGCATAAATCGAGTTTTCCTTCATATATTGCACCATCCGCCATGTAGTTTAGGCAATTTTACCGACTGGGGCCGACAATTTCACGAGGATGAGCGTGACATTTGGTCCCAGTCTCAAAATTAAGAAGGACCTTCTCGTCTATCCCTTCAAAGTAACTTCCGCAGGATTTTGTCACAACCTTCCTCATTGAAGCATCAGCAAAAGTCTGATAAGATGATGCCTTTCCGTGATTATGAAATTTTCTTACTCTTTCTTCTGCTGGTAATGTTTCACGGGTCAGGTAAGTCGAAAAGTCGAAAATTTATTCTCCCGTTCAAAGGATTTAACAGTGTTTTTTTCTTACAAAAATAAAACAAAACAATAACCTAGCGAATTTGCGGGGTTTATACGCTAGACAACAAGCTAACCGACTAAACGCGATTTGGTAATTAACTAGGTCAAGCACATGTTGTCGCGTACCCAATGCAGCAGACACGGGGTGTGTTGTACTGGAGTTCGCGGAGTGTCAACCACAGTGTAGGAATCAACAACACAAGATAATTCAACAACGTTTAATGCTATCGTCTGAATATCATACACATGCGGTGAAAAATAAAAAGGGGTATTGCAATGTGCCAGATTAAAAGTAGGCTGAGGCTAATTACAAAACAAACGAAATCGAAAAGAAAAGGAAACTAAGTACAATAGGCTGGAAGTTACGTCTGATCCTGTCTTTAAGGGAATCTGCAACGTTACGTAACTAAAACAATTTTATGCAAAACGAAATTCGATACTTAAGGGGCTTACCATTATAAGGGTATAATTCATGTGAACATTTGTAAACTGGTTTATTAGGAATGCTAGCCAAGTAGCTTATTGAAGCTGTGAACAATAATACGCAAGGAAAATTAGGGCGTAAACTCGACAAAGAAACAATAGAGAACTTTTTTCCTACTTTAAATCAAAACAAAGCGATTACGCCATCACAGTCGAATGTTCATTACACATGTACTTAATGTAGCAAACAGCATAAACAATCCTACCTTACCAGGAGCAGTTTTCTAGCTCTTTAGCCTTCTTTCAAGCGAACAGTTCAGTACGACAGCACAAACTCAACTAAATTACAACCGAAGCTTGCTTCCATCGACATTCGAGGGCGTTGTGAAACCACATTCAAGGGCGCCGTAAAACTACATGGATGCTTACACGTTCAACTGTATAGGCATTCCTAAGTGATATCATAAGCTTGCTAAATCTTACCGGAAAATTCCTAATCACAAAACGAAAGAGTAAAAACTACGCGCTCCTAAATATTTAGGTACTCCGATAAATTATATGTCTAGTGACTGTCACAATTACTGGTAGCAAAGTTGAGTGTGGCTTTTCCTCCAGGAAGCAATCATGTAGAGATACTACATAATGCACTTGGATGGAAAATTGAGGATTATTTTCTCGTGCCGAAATGTATGATTTGTCTACTTGACCAGTTGTCAGTTAATAAAATGGAGTTTAGTAGCAAACGACGCGACGGTAGCAGAGGAGTGAAAAAGTGAGGGACTACAGCATTGTTTACTATCCGGCTATGTTTTACCAACTGAATGCCTAGAACAAGCTAGGCGCAGTTAAGTGTGTCACCGGTGTTATTAACATGTTTTAACCTCCTCTGTGATTTATAACGGTACAGAGCCACGGCAACATGGAAGCTATTTGTTTTATTCACTGTTTTTTTCACAGAATTTATAACAGAATTCGGAAGCGCCTGAGCGATAATACTGAAACACTGAAACAATTATTTGCTTAAAGCGAAAGAAAGATCGATAAATAATATTCCCTTCGTCTTCGGTAAATATTATTAATTCTTATTCACTATTATGTCATTTGTCTTGTAAGAGCAATGGAACACGCTAAATATGCCTTGATTGTCCACTGTAGAACAGGGCAAGAGTAAGGACAGAAGTGATGCGTGTGATCTTTGATTCTTTTTAAATTTTTAGGCATTAATTTTTCAGCAGTGAACTTTAAAGCCCACAGGAATTTTGTTCTGGTCATCAAGAACACTTTAATGGTTTCTTCTCTGTTGTTTTTTTCTTTCATGCACATCTTATGTGATGGGTAGGATGGTCAGATAAGACCATACAACTTTTCAAAAAATTAGAAACCATAAGACTAGAAAATGAAATGAAGGGAATAATAAACCCCTCGTTTAATGGTTTAACATAGCTATAATATGTGTGGACATTTCGACTTTCCATTTCCCACCTCAAAAAGTTCTTCCAAAAATTTATTCAAGTGTACCACTTTTAAATTTTTTAATTTTACCACTGTGCACATTTTGGAAATTAAAGAAAGTGGAACTTGTCAAAAATGACCCTCATGAGGCGCAAATAGTTGCACTTAATTGTTATTGAACCTTATTTCTCAGCAAATTGACGTATATTTAGAGCTGATTGACATTAATGAATACCAATCTAGTGCATATTTACACCAATTATTATTACTGCTCATACAAAGTGCCTCTGTGGTGGACTTTACTTAAGTCTTTCTTCCTAAATATTATTCTTACACATGTAACTAAAGGGCTGAGAATATTATGTTTATGGTTGTCTATTTTAGGGGGTGTGGATGTGCGTTTCACCCAGGAACCTTCTGATCCAAGCTACTTTAACAATGGTACTGATGCCAACCTGGTGTGGGACTACACTGACCCACATAATATCGTTCAGAGCATTATCTATAGTGTTCTGGTAGATGGTATATTTGTCAGAATGATAGTTAATGAGAGTCGTGGTGTCCAAGAACATCCTAACATTCCTCCATCTTACAAAGGACGAGTTAAAATTGAAGGAAGAGCTACCCTGGTTATTAAGAACATCAACCCTGAAGACAATACCAAATTTAGATGTGAACTCATTGGAAGCTTTATCAACATTTTTCAAAGTACAATGCTGCTTATTGTGGCAGGTATGTATTAAAGAAATAACCATACATAATCAAACATAAATCAAATGCATCCAACTCATAACTCTCATATTTCTGATCTCTTACTTCTGGAGAAAATAAACAATAGCATCAATTTGCGCAAAATTTATATGCAGGGCTGAAAGTGGCTTGCTAACTGGACCTTGGGAAAAATAATGCTACTTTAGCATACAACACCACACTCCTAAAAGGATAAAACATATTCTACAATTCAGTTTACTGTTTCTTATCAATAAGAAATCAAATACTTATCAAAGATTTATTACTTTATACTTCTGGCACCAACTACTGGGTTGCTCTGTTATGCATAGATAACTATTATTAATATGAGTACTGAGATGTTCTCTCAGCAAAGCTGTCACTTACAAGTGGTCAGTCAAAAGTAGAAACAATGCAACTGGTTGTACGATTTTGCTGAATCAGTGAAGGAAAATATGAAATGAGCAATCACAGGCAGCATGTCAAATTGATTTGGTGTGAAGAAAGTGGCATTGCTTTTGAAGTCACTTAAAGGGACTTGCCAAGAGAGTGAAAGTCGCATTAAGCCATTTGCTGCTCTCTGAGGATTATGATCTTCAAGGTTCACAGATGTAAGTTTAGTCAACAGAATGGTGACTTACTCAAGTATGTCCTAAAACTAAGGAGGGATTCGAGACTTGGAAAATTTGCACATGGAGGAAAACTTTCTTAAAGTTATGGTAGCAGTAAACCAACAAAGTCTATAATCCAAGCTCTTTATGCTCTTTGAAAGACGCCTCGCATGCATGCGAACAGAAAAAATTTCAATGATGATCAACGTGGCAAGTTAGGGTTGCTGTTCTTAGCAGATGCTGTTATTCATGGAGGTCAGTTCAATAGCTCTAATTTTAATGCTGACTTTGGATGCTCCACTGAGAAACTGGCTGAATTCCACAAAGAGCTCCGAGCGACTAAAAGTATCTAATTTCAATTTAGAGTATGAAACACTTTGTAAGCTTATGCAACCTAAAACTTTTCACGTATAAAACGGAAGCGAAATGTTAATTGAACAGACCTTTTAATCTTCTCTCAGGGTGTTTTACCTTTCATATAGTATCTTGGGTATCCTGACAACGTTAAGTACATGAAAACGAGTGTGACATTAAGTATGTAACCTCTTGGTCATTTGTGATATCTCAATACTCATGTACAATTTACTTCATTGTTTGCTTGAACGATTTCATTCAATGGTGGAGAAAAATTAAAACTCACTGTTTACTGTTTTTTATCGTCTGCGACTCGTGACTAAAAAAATTTTTGTGCTTACCAGCCATTACATAATCTTCTCCCTTTCCTTGTCAATGTACAGCTTTGTGACATCTGATTAAATCCACTCCCTGACATATATCATTTGCAAGTATTGATATATCTGCAAAGTATTGCTTAACATATGATTTCAAAACTTAAAAACAAATGGAAAAAGGAGAAGGCTCTTAGAAGATGTAATGGATAGTCTGTCTTCTTTCATCTCTACCAAAATGCTGGTTGTCATGTACATGTAGATTGCGTTTGGACAAAAGTTGTGGCATAAAGAATGGGATCTATTATGTAAATAGAGAAGTGTGTTAGTGACTTAGATTCTCGTTTGACCAGTTTGACAGCTATTCACTCCCTAGTTCTCTTCTGTCTGCCAGCCCCATATCCAAGATGTCCCATGCGCTTTCAATAGTTTTGCAGGTTTTGACTTAGTGTGTTACCCATGATCCTTTTGGTTTTGGGTTTCGAAAAAATTTCATCTTTATCCTTACTATATTTCATCTTCAAGTGATTATGGCATAGAGTCTTCCATGTTTAGCCAAGTAGAACAATTAAATTTAGCCTACATCCTAAGGTTTCTGCTATTTTACTGCGATGACATTGATGAGGCTAATGCTCCCACGGTTTCTGCGATTTGAAGACAGTTGAGTTTTTTTGTTCCTTTTGATAGGTTAATTTCAGTTCTCTGGGTTTAGGATGTCTTCATTAGATCATTTGTCAGACCAAGTTCTAAGTTAGGTGTGGCTCAATTGGCTCTGTTCCTATTTGTTTGTGCAGCAGCAAAAAATTGAAAAAAAAAGGGAGAAGTGTAGAAGCCAGGGTCCTTAGCCTAATTTAGCCTGTAAGGAAGTTTTCCAGTCGCTAGCATCAACAGGTTAACTTGTAATGAATGAAGTTTGAGCCTCCCTCAACTAGTTGGTTGTTGAGGATAACTTGCTGGATACTTTTGTTTTTGTTTGGAAATTGGATAAATTTTAAGACTCATTCCAAGTAAGATTTGCTACGCCATATGAAGAACGTTATAATCTTTTTTTTTACCTTTCAGAGGCACCACGGATATACCTCTCTCTAGGAGGAAAATATTTCATTGAAGGATCCCCTGTCACCGTAGCCTGTACAGCTTCTGGGAAACCACCGCCGGATGTAGCATGGATTAGACATGGAGTACTGGAAAGTTCAGGGAAGAAATCTGCGTCCTTAACCCTACTTCTGCTGGTTAAAAAACGCACAAATTTGTCCACATTCAGTTTTTAATTCATATCTCAACAAATATTTACAGGAATAACACCTACAATATGTCATTTTAAAGTGTATAAAATGGGCTTCTCAGGAAAAAAATTCATCATTGAAACCCAGGACTTTCCTAAAAAGTAAAATTTAAAACACAAAATAAGTAAGACATAGTGTAAAACTTGAGGTCAAAGTCACTTTTCCTCACAGGTATAGGTTACTTAAGATTAATTGATAGCAGAAGTTAATTAAAGTTCGATAATATAAACAGAAGAGATGCAGGACAATATACATGTCGAGCCAATAACTCAGTGGACGTCACTTCCATTGACACAAAAATTGTAGTTTACTGTAAGTATATTTTAACCTTAATTTTCTATTTCTGAATTTACTTTATTTACAGTGCCACTCCTGTTAATGAGGTTCAGATACACAAAACTGACGAATCTGTTCAAAACTGTAAGGAAACTGAATTTCACCTCAATCCTTTTCGGCTTTGTATGCGTTGGTTCCAAGTCTTGGTTGGGACAATTGAATCTAGGTGGAATCATTGATTACATCATTTTGCTTCGGAGGACGTAACAATTGTTTTAGCAACCCATTGCACCACTAAGACTTGTGTTTAAATGTAACACAGAAAATGGCTAAAAGCCATTTCCGAGTCATTGTAACAACCCAAATTCACTCCGTTTGACAAGCGCACAAGGCTAGCGCATATTCTGATTCTGTGTGAGGACTTTTGGTTGGTCATTAAGAAAATTACATCAGACATGTTTTCTTGGGTATACCACATATTTAAAACATGACCTGTTACAACTGAAAGTTCACTGGAAACCCAGTTTAGTAGGGTCTACATTTCACCCCTTCATCATTCATTATTTACTTTTAGCGGCTCACAGCCCATTTGATTCATTCATGGGTATATGCATAACACGTCACCCTTTAATACATGGAAACAAGGTGCTATCAATCTTTTAACTACTTTTTGAAACATTTAACAACTGATAATGCCGAAACTATTCAGTTTTTACAAATGCAAATTGATGTCGTGTGGCCAACCACATGACCTTAAAGGAGTCAAAATAGCCGTTTAGAGCTGTTATAAGAATATCTATAGATCCTCTGTGGCTTAAATTTATGAAATATCCCTCAGTATTCTGCTATTATCTATGAAAGGGTGGTACAATCCACAGTTTCAGCCAAATATTTGCTTATTTAGCTTGAAAGCATCACCCAATTTCAGATATGATTTGACATGAAAAAGAGACTCACTTAGGTGATAACTGTTTGCGACCATTTCTTATGTTTTTATGAAAAGAAACTTCCGATTATATCATAAGCTCTTAATGGTAGAAGGCCAGCGATCCTCAACATCTGCAAATTATGTCACGACCAAGCATGTGACCTCCTAGGGGGCCTAAATTAGGGATTTTCAACAGAGTTTCTGCATGAGCGACAACGTTTTTATGTCTGATAACAACTAAAGTTGGCCTTTACAAATTGCTCATATTAATTAACAGAGGATTTAAAATAGCTTTTCTAGTAACGACATAGTTGGTGTGATTTTATTGCTGGAGTAATTCCATTGTTTTCCTTCGTGCAATTTGTGAGTTAAAGTATTCTGCTTTTAGTCAATATTCTAACCACTGGTGGATGACTTGCTGCAATTTTCCGTGACAAAAGCATTATATTTTGCTGACCAAGGCACTCCACGGATTGATACTAGATTAACCCACATACAAGATTAACCCTTCTTGTTGCACAATTATGCACCCTCTATACTTTTACGAGGGGTTATGATTTAGAACTAGGGGGAATGTATGAGCCATGAAATAAACAGGGATTAAGATTTTGATTTGATTTACATTTTTAGACAGACCCGAAGGTGCAAGGCTCACTACCAATGCTTCACAAAATACCGTCACTGAAGGAGACACAGTTACATTCAAGTGCAAAGTTATGGCTGCTGTGCCTCAAGTGTCAATTTACAAGTTCTATTTCAATGGCGGCATCCTGAGTGGGAACAGTAACAGTGAGTATACCCTCAACAACGTCAATTGATCTCAGCACTATGGCGACTACCAATGTGTCCCACACAATGACGCTGGAGATGGAGCAGGAGCAACTGTGAGACTGAACGTAAATGGTGGGTAGGAACAGCTTTGAGCATTTCTGAGTATTATGGCAGATGTTATGTGGCTTCACAGGCATTTTTGCGGTGCTGAAGAGGCGTTTTCCTTGCAAGCATCACTCAGCTTGCCACACAATGCTCCTTTCCAAGGTACTTGGAAAAATGCTGATGAAGGATGCTTGTCTTGAAAAATTTAACCAGTGCCTCATAATAAATGGGTACTTAATAGCAAAATTTGTGCCTGATGATAGTGAACTTACGCCTAATCATAATAATGGACTTATGCCTAATAACGATGGTGCTTGATGCTACTCTGGTTTACAGATTTAATGAATGTAATCTAAGTTACAATTCGTAGACCAAATGTTTCGACACTCCTGTCTAGTGCCTTCATCAGGGGTAATCTAAACGCTGCAACAAGAGTGATTGGTTCGGTTCGTTGTTCTTTCGGGACAGGATCCTTAGGTTTGGCGAAAATATGCCCCAAAGTCTGAAAAGGTTTTTGAGCAACTTTAACGTTTTGGCTATTCAAAATTCTCTTGATGGGTTCCGTAACACCCGGAATGTAAGGAATAACAGCAAAACCATTCGCTGGTTCCCTTTCATCAGGAGTGCTACCAGTTGTAACTGGTTTTTGGTAGTTACGGAGAAAGGTTTTTGTATAGCCATTTGCCTTTAGGACATTAGAAACATATTTCCTCTCCTCAGCCTTCGAATCGAGTGAAGATGGTAGACAGTCAGCCCTCCTGAGTAAATTTTTGGCTACAGTATTTTTATGGAAAAAAGGGTGGTGAGAATCGAAAGCGAGGTATTTGTCGGTGTGGGTAGGTTTACGGTAGACACTTGTCTCTAAATTACCCTGAACCCCTCTAGGCACATTTAAATCAAGAAAGGACAAATGTCTATCCTTTTCACGCTCAAGGGTGATTTGGATAGACAGCTCTACTGAATCCAAATGCGATAGGAGGCGCTCCGCTTCATTTCCGGATACCGCAGAAATAACATCATCGACATATCGTTTCCAGAAAAAGGGTTTTACGAGTGAGGTAGCTAAGGCCCTTTGTTCCACGTCTTCCATTACCATGTTGGCAATGACAGCAAAGACGAGCGAACCCATAGCTGTAACAAAAACTTGTTCATAGTAGGTGCCGTTGTATGCAAATTTCGTGGTTTTGAGGCAAAAAGACAGCCATAAAGAAAGCCACAACGTTAAAGTTGCTCAAGAACCATTTCAGACTTCGGGGCTTATTTTCGCCAAACCTATTCCTCGCAATGACTGTGACGACGAATACATCGCACAGACCAAACGTCAGTTTGGTACACGTTTGAAAAAGCATCAAAAAGCGGTTTTCTTTTGCAAGAAAATTCAGCTTTATCGGAACACACATGCCCAACTAACCATACAACTGGGTGGGATACTTCTAAAAATTATCACCACTAATCGGCGTTACCACCAGCGCCTTTGTTTGGAAGCTTGGCATATTAACTCCGCCCACGCTCCTTTAAATCGTTATGATGGCGGCTTACTTCTTGACACCTATTTACACCTCGTCAGAAAAAAGGCAGCTAATTAGTGATCATATCAAAGGACCACTTGTTGCAGGCACCAAACCATGTCTGATTGTCCACCTACTTACCGTGTGAACTTAATATATTTTAATGATGAACTTGTGCTTAGCAATGATGAACAGGTGCCTAATGATAAAAACCAATACCTGATCATGATGAACTTGTGCCTAATAATAAGGAAACAAACCTAACAATGATTCACAAGGGCATAATAGAAACAAAGTAATGATTTGGTTGAAATGGCACCCTATGGTTACCCTAGATTGTTTTCAGACAGAAGAAGTCTGTAAGTTTCTGTAGCTTTTTGGGAGCCTTAACAAGATTGTACATTTAATTGTGTAGCAGAATACCTGGAATTTAGCTACAACTTTGAGATTAACCCTTGATCTGATTACATTTTTTTGGTAAAAAAAGAAAAACAAAACAAAACAAAACATCATTCCAAAGCAATTATCCTGTGTCCGCTAAAAACTGTAAACTTATGGATTTCATTACAGTATTTCAAAACTGATGCAAATTCTGATTAGCTGACATGATAATAGTTTGTTTCCTTTTTTAGATATTGTTCTGATACATATGCCACATTTTATAATCTTACTTCTATAGCGTATGAAGTGGATGTTTTTGAACCAAATCGCACTCTAATGCTGTGGAGTGAAAATTTTGTTGTTCCTCTCTTTTGCCCAGTTCCCGTCCAGTTTACAGAAATGCCACAGAATATAACAGTTAATACGTCTACCCCTCTGGTTTTGAATTGTGATGCGACGGGTTTTCCTGAACCTAAGATAAGATGGGAAAAATCTGGGATTCATTTGTGTGGCACCAAACAGCTGAAAATCTCCAGTATTAACACGAACGATGCTGGAGAATATATTTGTATCGCAAGCAATGGAGTAAGACAGGAAAAGACAGTAAGAGCTTATGTCACCGTGCAATGTAAGTCTCTTTTTCAGCATTTCATAAAACGCTGCTACTGCTGCTGAATCTATGATACATTCCAACCTATATTTAACAGCACCATATTAAATGGTCACCCTGAATGTAGTTTTCAAATTCTCTTTTTTCTCCTTAAATTGATGTTATTTTGAAAAAAAAAAGGAAAATTGTGCATACTTTCAAACTGCAACACTTTAGAAAACGAGTATATTCATATAAACATGTATAAATTTTACCAAAACATACCCAAAAAGACAACAAACTCAAAGTCAATATCCAAGAAAAAACCCTTTCAAATTCAAAATTTCCCCAACCTCACCCAACTCTTAGCCAAAATGATCTGGTCTTCTGGGAGGGATGCTACAAAGCATGGCTTCTGACTATGAATTGATGGACAAAGACGAAACCAATCCAGCCTAATAAGAACTCAACTCAAAAAGAAATTTCCCCCCTGGGCTTTCCATACAACTAACATTTGCATCTCACCCTAGAAGAGGGTGGTGGCTGAGCTGTATGCTAGGGTTAAGCCCCCTGCATTTTCTTTAGCAAGGCTAGCTTGAAGGTGTACATTGAAAACCTAGTCATCAGGTTTTTTGCACCCCTTCCTAAGCCTGATGATTTGGACTTTCAACACCCTCCAAACACAGAGTGTTCATCCACTAGCTGAGCTTTAGCAGGGGATAAACCGAGTGTCAATCTTGTAACATACATGTTGTA